GTTTTCCACTGATGATACAATAAAAGTGAAACTTTTCAGGAAGGATAAAAAGTCCACTAAAATCTGGACCCTGATTCCCCCTCAGATCTCATCTCCTACCTTTTCCCACTTCTTTGTTCCAGCCCTAGAACTATGGGTGACTCCCTACATGTGCCTACATCCCACTGCATGTTATTCTACTCTGCCATGAAGAATGTCCTTCTTCCTCATATTCATGTAGCAGAGACTCAATGTTACTGCCTTTGTGAAAACCTTCTGAAAGCTCTGGTCTTTCCCTCCATTTCTATAATTAAAATCTCTTTACTGTACTTAATATGCTTAATTATGCATATTTACACCAGTTGACCATACCAAGCTACAAAACTGTTTGTCATGCACTGCATTCTATTTCCCTTTGTAGTCACAGATATAAACAGGGCATGTTAGATTCTTAACACATGCTAATGATTTAAAAAAACAATAAACCCAACAAGCCAGAGGTAGGTAGGTAACTTGGTGATATAATATAAAGTACATAGACTCCGGAGTCAGACAGACTTGGACTTAAGTGCTAGCTATGCTAACTTCTGAGGTGCTGGGCACTTAACCTCTATACCCTCACCTGTACATGGAGATAATAAGGTGCAGTTGCATCCTGTTTTTCCCTTGGTTTAGTTCTTAACTAAGATGACACAAGTTATCAGAGAATCCCAATACTCTTCCTTCCTGATTTAAATGGATTTGGATTTCTGTTCACCACAGGGCCCTAAGGCCCTCCGACCTCTATCCATGCAAGACAGGGTATGCCTCAAATCCAGATGCACGGTGTTAGCTTCTAGGGCCAAAGGGTAACAGGAAATAAGGACAAGCCAGGAGGAAAGAGAGAAACCATGAACTTAAAAATGATCTGAAGGTGGAGATCAAAGAAAGCTGAAACATATCAATAGGTAGAAGTGGGAGAGACAAAGCAGTGGTCAAAGGGAAGGGACAAAACCAGGATTAAGTTCTGGGTACGTTTGGCCAGGTAAGGACATATCGTGGGAATAATTATACCTTGCTATCACATTCCTCTACTGCATGGCTTTAATCTTTTCACTGAGCTAGGGAGAGAACTTCCCTAGATAATAAATGGGCAGGGATAAGGGGCAGAAGGAAGAAGCAGCACTGTGTCTCAGTAGACAGTTGAAGATTTTCAACTGCAGAGTAGGGAAAAGAGAATCAAAATTTTTATTCACACACTGATGCACTCATCAGTAAACTGAAAATTTACCAATTATCCACACAGATTTGATCCCAGCCTTCACATAGACGAGCTATAGATTTGAAAACATTTAAGAGTAGTAAGTGGCTTTCAAAAATAGGCGTGCTAGTATTTAAATCCTGGTATGTCTGACTCCAAAGTCTACGTAATTTCAAAGTGTACCAAAGTAAAAACAGCAAAGATACATAAAACTCATGTATTTCAGAGTAAATAAAAACCAAACCAAACTAAAACCTGACCATTTAAATGAGTCTCCACCGAGCAGAAGCTTGACTGCCAAAGTTAAGAAAGGAAATCATCATTTAATATTTGCTATGTGCCAGATGCTAAGAAAATGTACAGCACAGATGTATGTAGTCTGCTTTTTAGAAAGGTTGTCATTGAGAAAAAGCAGAGATACCCAGTACCTGGGAAAGCAAACGGTTGAAAATGTATAAAAGCTAGTGGTACTTTGAGCAAGTTTCCAGTTACAGAGTAAGAAGCACAGCAGAAATCTGAATTATACTGAAGCACAATTCACATCCCCTGATGAAGCAGTAGTCTGGACAAGGTAGAAGAGATGCTTCGGAAGGCGGAAAGGTCAGACAGCAGGCAAAAATCACACCTGCAGGGATGAGCAGAGCAGGAGCTCAGTTCTACAGATCAGCTCTACTAAAGCAGGAGAATCAAAGTGCTATTGTTGAGCAGGAATCTCCATTTGAGACTTGTTTAAAAGTCCTCTTCTGCATTGGTATTTTACATTCAAATTAATATTCTCCAACAAGCCTTCCACAATACAAATAAAGAAACTGAATTCCTGAGCTGAGGTGACACAAATTCACTCAGAGTAGACTCTCTACTCCCTATTAAATAAATTTATTCAGTAGCAAATATACAATCAGCTTTGGTTTTGGCAATTTAAGTTTTTCTGAAAGACATACTTTACAGAAAAAGCTGCTTTCAATTTGAAGATAAACTTAGTATCAACTTACAACTCAAAAATATACAAATATAAGCTCTATCTAAAATACCATCACAGTAAATGTGAACAGAATCTATTCAGAAGTATATTAATGAAATAAAGTTGGTTAACATGCATCTGTTATGAAAAGTCAACAAGTTTTCAGACCAATGATAAATTTTATTCTGGGCCAAATAAAAAGATAAATTACTCTGTCAGCAAAAAATCTGCTGAGGAATGGCTATGTGTGCATTAACTACAGGAGAATGAGGGTAGTGTCTTCTGTGATTTCAAAATGATGTCTGAAAGAGTAAAAAAAATAAAGCTCAAAGTACAGTTCTTTAAATGCATTTCTACACAGGCTGGCTGAGGTGGAAAAAAAATCTATATATCAAAGCATTTTTTTCCACAGGTTATTTTTTAATCTGATTATCTGAAAATTGCAGAAAGTTTGGAAAAGCATAAAGAAATTACCCACAATTCTACCAGCAAGAGACAACTCTTATCATTTTATTTCATTCCAGATTTTTCCCTAAGACCTCTTACAGAGTGAAAACTCCAGCTTGTAACTTATCAATACGTATATTCTCACTATTAAAAATTTTACAGGCATTTTAAAGCATTGCTTCCCATTTCGAAACTAGCTCTCATTTCAAATTATCAGAGGGAATATCAGAGGACCCTGAAGCACATCTGTTCAACTAATAACACTGGTTCAAAATCAATGCTACCACAGACTGCATCAGGGCCCTTTGGGTAAGAAATATAAATTTTAAAAATTAGGGAGTTCAAATTCCACCTCACTTCTGAGTTTTCAGATGAAATATAACCTAACCAGTTGTTGCATTACGAACTCAGTGAACAATGATCAACAATATAAGCCAATTATACCACAAAAAAAGGAACAAATGAAAAATATTAGAAAGATTTTTAAAAAAGAATCATTTATATCTATGATTTCCCTTTGCATAATTCCTGTGTTTGACATTTCATTTTCATTAAGTTATGAGAAAACTACGTATTCTCTTATCACCAATGTAGAAACTGCAGTACCAAATTAAATGACTTACCAACACTTACCCAATCAACTGAAAAGAACTAGAAGTCAAGTCTTTTAATAGCAGCACTATTTCTATTTTTGTTAAACAATACTGTTTACATAAAATGATATGAAAGAGAAATGTATTTGTTAAATTGCTGATAAAAATGGAAATAAACCTTAGAAACAAATGAGGTAACATTACATGCTTAATTAGATGGAGCTTGAGAAATTCTAGAAAGGAAATCATCTAATTTGAAAGGAAGATATGTAACTGATTCTTTACTATTTCAAGACTATTTTTAAGCATTATATATACTATTTGTGGATTTAGAAAGAAGTAAAGCATATACAGCTTATGTAGCTATCTCCTTTCTGTGTCAAGGTACTTATTGTGTCAGCATCCTTGCTTGGAAATGAGATAATACCTATCTCAGATGGTTGTGTTGACGTTGAGTAAAATCTACATAAATCACCTACTTCTGCCATAAAGTGAGTTCTAATAAATGTTAGCCGTATCTATTATCCTGTGTGTGTGTATATCTATATCTATATATATCTATCTATATATATATATTTTTTTTTGGTGGTGGTGTTTTTTTCTACCAGGGGGGAAATACAAATACAGGCTTTCATACTTGGAGTAAAGCACTTAATATTCTAATTGATTAAAAGCATATGTTTCAGAACTCATTTAGGATAATCAAACAAAAATCTAAACACTGGGCATCTAAAATTTAAATTACACTGTATGGAAATGTGCCTATATATAAAAAGGTCAGTTTACCAAACAGATTTTTCCTTAGATTCTATTTCTACAGGTGGGTCAAGGTTTCAGCATCTTCATAATGACAGGCTATGGCCATGATTTCACTTAACTGAAAACCACAAAACAGCAATTAGTTGGATTTAAATGTGGAGATCAATTTTTTAACAAAGAAAACCTCCCCAGCAATACATAACACTCCAAATCCTTATCCTTCCCACTGCAATAAAATGGGAAATGCAATGGAAAAAATGTGTTCAATAACAGATGCCAAACTGATTCAAAACTTGCGGCTCAATGCCTGCAAAGACTACTAAACAAGGAGAAAAACATCAGCCCTGCATTCTCTTTCCATTAATGATGATTATTCAATAAACAGTTCTGTTCGTTTCTGGAACAGGTTTCCAAGGACTGTAGGTGGAAAAAAAAAGTTTGGTCACTTTTTGGAAGGGCTTACCCTTCTAACGCGAAACGCGTTAAAACTTAGCACCTCGCCTTGGGTCTGACCCAACCAAGACATCCCCCTGAATAGCAGGCTGGATTTCCGGAGAAGTTCTTAATACAAGACTCGAAGATAACCAGAATGAATTACACCGGCTTCCACAAAGCACAGTAATTAACACTCCCCGCCTTTAATAGGTTTCAGATGCTCTTTCCTTGCTTTGCTTCTGTCCATCTGCCCATTTAACAGCTGAACTTTAGGATCACATCTCCAAAACTTTTTCCTGCCACAGATTTCCCCCCAGAAGAATCCAATACCAAAAAGGAGGTCTTCTTAGCGTCTCCCTTCTCTCTTCTCAGAAAAATAAATGGCCTTACCCAAAAGTAAAGCCGCGCCAACTTGGAGGACCGCAGGCAGAGCCCCAGCCCCGGGTGCTGGGCCGGGTTCGGCCGGGCACGGAGGCGCACGGCTTCTCCCCGGGGCGCAGCGGCTTCGGCTCAGCGCCCGGGCACCCCGGGGCTCCCCGAGGCCCTGGGAGCTCCGCGCGCCACACACTGCCCGGGCTCTGCTCACCTTGCTGGGCTCCAGCGTCCTCGAGCAGCAGGGGCAGGATGAGGACGAGCAGGAGGAACTGAGGCATGGGGAAGGAGCAAGAGGAGGAGGAGCTGGCGCGCGCAGGGAGGGCGCAGGAGCCGGAGGGGGGGAGCGCGGCCCGGGCGGGGGCGGCGGCCGCGGCCCGGACTCGAGGACCGTGCGGACTGCGCCCGGCTCTCACCACCGCCCGGCTCGCCATCGCGGTGGCCGGCAGTCCGCCTGCATGCTGCGGGCGCCCGGGGAGCCCCGCAGGCGCCGGGCCACGGCCGGAGCGCGAGCGGCAGCGCGCGCCTCGCCCCGCGCCGGGACCCCTCCGCCCCTCACTCGGCTTTCGGTTCCTCCTCCCGCGCCCCTTCCCTCCGCTCCCCGCCCCGAGACCCCAGGCCGGAGCGCAGGGGAGGGGAGGGAAGGAAGAGGAGTGCTCGGGCGGCGGCGCGCAGCCGCGGCGGGGCTGGAGGACGCGCCTCGCGCGCCGAATTCCTCCACCAGACCCCGCTCGCCCGCGGCTCCGGCTCGCTGGCTGGCAGGCCGGACGCCCGCTCCGCGCGCTCCCTCTGCTGCGCGCTGGCCACGCCTCCGAGGCCGCCACGGCCAATCCGCGGTCGGCTCTGGTCCGTCTCCCTCCGAGCCGCCCAATCAACACGCTCTCTCTTCGGTCGCCCCGTTAGTTGCCCGGCCCACTTCACGAGTTGCACCGCCCCTCATCTCTCTCCTCCAATCCCCTGCGGCCTTGGGAAACGTCCCACCCGCCTTCCCCAAGTCGGGTTCCGCCTCCGCACTCGGGCCCCCGGCAGCCCCCGCGCACTGCGAGCGCCTGTTATTGTTGGGACCGCAGCCCCGGCTGATCCCGCAGAGGCGGTCGCTCGCCGGCTCAATGACTTCCGGGACTTCCCCCACCCCGCGCTCCCAGCGCCCGAGGCCCAGCTCGCTCGTCGCTCCTCCCCCGCTGCACATCAGGCCACTGAAAGGGGTGGGAAACCTGGATCCTGGATGGTTTCTATCAATAGAGCTGAGTCTATTTTTTTTTTTTCCTTAAGAAGAGAATTTTTTTGGAGTACACTTAATTGTTACAGCAACTCTGAGTTACAATAACAGACAATATTCAATTAATAAAATAATGTATTTCTTGATTTTTACGCCTTTTACTTTATGGGGGGACAACAAAGTGTATGACAAGATACATGCTTCCAAGGACCTTTAAACCTAACACCCTAACATTCATTCAGACATTCTACCAAGCGCTGATGAACACCTGCTGTCTACTTGCGAACCTATGTAAGAGGTGTCGGCTTTGCAGCAATAGTATAGAAATCTTCCAGGATCTAGTGCTGAAACAGAGATGGAAACACAGGATGAAACACAAAATAAATTGTTAAAGTCACAAGCAATTTGATGGAGTGACAAGAAGAATTGGTCTTTGGGAAAAGGAATCCATAGGACTAGGCAGTGACTGGTTTCAGAGAGGAGGAGAAAGTGGCCATCCTGCATATTTTTAATGTGGTCTCCAAAGAAGAAGATGGTGTCATTCAGGAATACAGGAAAGTGGAATGGTGGAGCAGATTGTGAATTAACCTTGGACATATTGAATTTGAGATGCCCACTCAGCTAATAGGTGAAGTTATGTAGCAGGTAGACATTGTGGTCTAAAACTCAGATTGAAGAGTGCCTTGAAGTTATGGATGGAACTCATGAACAGATGCAATACTCAAACCATGAAAAGGACTGACATCCACAAATGAAAATTTGAGATTTGGAAAGCATTTTGGAGGTCATCTTTTCAACATCCCTGCAGATCCCTTATACACTAAAACTAAACTCTCTATGAAATGTATTCAATAAGCATTTAGTTCATGCCTATGAAAAATTGCTATGCTTTAAGGCACTGCTATGCAGTGGGCAATCAAAGGACTCTACGTTTTGGCAGAAGGGGCAAACATGCAAACAAATCCATTGCTATCAGTGCTATGCTGGCATGTGGAATGGTGCCACAATACCACTCTGGGAGGAGTTCAAGAATCCATAAAACTCCAGCTAAATCTTGAATAAGAGAACAAAGAAGGTGATCTCAGGTCAGAGAGAAAGTATGTTGGTTCACAGGTGAATAGTGTTTAAGCTGAATGTTATTTTGCTGACTTAATGGGAGCGGCTGAAGACTAGTCTGGAAAAGTGGGTGAGGGCAATATTTAAGATTATGGCTAAGAAGTCAGGATTTTTTTTTTGTAATTTTGAGAAGCAACTAAAGGGCTGTAAGAAGGTGACATTATCATACTTTCATTTTAGAAAATTCAGACAGGAGAGTGAGGAATGGACTGGAATAGGAGCAAGTATGGAGGCTGCTCCAGTATTTTATTTTTTTAAAAGATTTATTTATGCATACAAGAACTGGGGTACAGGTCAGAGGTGCAGGGGGTGAGAGGATTCACCAGAGACAGAGTGGGGAACAGAACAAGCAGATGTACTGAAATACACTGCTAAGGGGAGCAGCAGGCGAAGTAGGAGAGGTCTGCGGCGCCCTGTGGGTCACCTCCCTGGCTGGGGATCAAACTCAAGCTATAGTGGCTGCCTATAGCTTCATTGTGCTGAGACTTAACCCCTTGCACCACAAGGGAAGCCCCTTAATTTTGGTTCAGTATTTTAAAGGGTTATTAAAAGTGGAGAAATAGAGAAGTTAAGAGGTTCTCAATGAGGTCCGTGTTAGGAAATGGATAAGGGAGGAAGGGGCAAATTAGAATTGCATATAAAGAGGTGAAATCAAAAGCTCTTGGTGACAGATACCACTTGTCAATGTCATATTCTTGTGCTTCAGCTTCCTGGGTGTTGCTTTGAAAATACAGAGTATGGAACTCTGGCTAGAGAAGGCCTGTGGAGCCCCTAGTGCTGTAGGTACAAGGGACTTATAGGTACAGCTGAGGGGGAAGGGCTGATGCTATTTCTTCCCCTATTTTCTTCCTACTTATCATTGTTACTGTACTGAGTTGCAAAAACAATGACAGAAGTTAGCTCTGAGATCACCCAAATCTTCTTGTAGGACCTCACACCAAATGATATAACAGGCATTAATTTCTAGAATGATGCACTATCTTTTTTTTTTTTTCCACTCCCTGCATGCTGCTCTAGCCAACTTTGTCATCTTCCTTACCTCTGGAACATGCTGTGTTCAGATATTCACAGCTGCTGAAGCAATGCTAAAGTAAATGTCCAGGACCATTTTAACCACATGGCCCAGATAGATGGACTGGATCAGAAATGGGGGTTTTAATCAGGACCCAAAGTGGATAGGTCTGGATGAAGTCATCATCACAGTAGTCAGAACCCCCCAGAAGTTAAAGTGCCCCCACAAAGTAAGCCCAGGTCCCAGTCCCTTCCTAAGGACTTCAGGTGGTGTCTGTAGGACAAGACCAACAGCTGAGCTGTGTCTTCAGTGCACATGAGTTCACTGCATTGGAGCTAGTACTTGTAGCAGCCATGGTAGACTCAATTCATCAACTGGTAAATGAATTAAAACTTTGACTGAAGTCTCGGGGAAAGACTAGGGCTTTAGGAAAGGAACACATGAGATTTGTATAGAAAGTACAAGGAAATTTAAATGTGTATTATTTGAACATATTTATGTTTACTTGTTCCATGTTAGAAATTTTAAAATATAGTTGTCAACCTAAAATTTTATTCTCCAAATGTTCCTACCCTTTCCATCATCTCTTCCTCTTTTATTGTTCTTTTTTTTTCTTATCTTATTGTAATTAATAAGGACTAGAGGAATAGAGAAAAAAAGAAACATGACAAGAATGGTTAGATGCCACCATTTGAGCTTCCAAATGAATCTCACGACTCATCCATTGCTATCGAAATAAGATTGGACAAAAACGTACGTGGAGCTGATGTCTTTGATTTGTACAGAAACATCTGAGTTTTAATGGTATTATACAATAAGAGTCATTGGCACCATCATTGCTACTCAATGCTTGTTGAGCATTAATGAAACAGAAGGGGCTCATTTAATATGGCATTTATAATGGAAACCTTGGATGATAGTATGTAATGGATCATCAGTGGACTTTATCAGTGAGTGTATATTTCTGGCAGGATATCAGAAAAAGGAAACAAACAAGAATTTACCTTTGTGATCTATCAGTGGGGTGGAAGAGAGAAGAATGTGGAAATTCTGGGGAAATATGTCCAACTTCAAAGACCAGAGCCCTGGATCTGGTTGCTGCTCTCACAGGAGCAGTTCCTTTGTCCTGCTGATTGTATGGACAAATGTTTACAGCTCAATTTGTTGCTAAATTCTGCTGAGAGGACTTTTTCTTTCTGTGAACAGAAGTGGTTTGGATACATTTTTCTCTTCATCTTACAAGCTTTCAGTTAGTTGTTTTAGTCAAATCTAACTTTCAGGGTTATTACTCATATTTTCTTAATATTTATGAACTGTTTCTTTAGGAATTTGTTATAGCAAATTTAAGACAGAAGTGTTAGAAACCTAATTTATTATCAAAGATATTTAATTAATATTACTGGATAAGGATGTCAGTTATTTTTCTTGTAAGATTAACATTGGTGTATTTTAGTAACATGACTGAATTTGATCATTTTCCAATTGCCTTTCCCCCCCACTACAATTATATTTCTATCTTTCTACTTCTCCCTCCCTGCCCACACAGTCTCGTTTTTTTTCCAGGAATGTAAGACATTTATCTAATGCACTGTTTTGTAGGTCAGAAGGTATAAACTTAGTATTTTATATCTAATGGAGACTGCAAAGGACTTTGAGTAAAAGCGTGTGAAAGCTGTCCTCCATTGCATCACAACTATGTTTAGAAATTAGAGACTACATGAATGTTTAACAGAAAACAAAAAATGAATAGTGAACATGCCAGAGTAGATGAGATAATATGACATAGGTGTGCAGGAGCTCTGTTCTGCCCCTGCAATATGCTTGCATTCTTTCCTGGAGGACCTCTGCTGGCAATATAGAACAGAATTAAATGTAGAGTTGAAATGCCTAATTGGCTTCTGAGAAATTGACTTGTTTCAGAAAATCATGGAAACATCCCTGGACCAGACTTTCTGTTGAAAGTGCTATATAACCTCAAGCAAAGCTAATCTCTCTAGGCCTCAGTTCCCATATTCTCACTAGCCACGGCTCCCTTTCATCTCACATATAAATTCTAAATCCTTAATACTAAAATTTCTATCTACTATAGAAAGCGGAGACAACAAAAGCTGATAGCTACAGAGTCCCCCTTGGGAAAGCATGATCTGTGCTGAACAGGAGTACATGCTGGCTTAGAAAATAAACTTCCTGTTCCCTAGCCCTACCCAAACCATGCCTTCACGAACTGGGACAATATGAGTAGCCCCCATTCTTTGCAGTGAAGATACAAAAAGGACCTTGGAGCTGGAAGGGTAATCTTATCAGGGAGGAGGTGGGAGAGTCAGAGGAGACACAGTTGGCAAGAGATGTGGTCAGAAACTGGAGCAGAGGAGTAGTGAGAAATAGTGAAACTTCCCAGTG